GCCCTCAGCCACCACATCTCCACTGCCTCCAGCCTTCTTATTGCAACATTCACCACCTATGCTTCACACCCATATAAGAGCGTTGGTATAACTATGCTGTCATTCATTCATTCCCCTCATTGCTTCCATGGATAATCTTTGTCTCCACAGACTCCTCAATGCACCACTCACGTTTTCCCCTCATCAATTCTATGATTCACCTCATCTTTCATAGACCCATCTGCTGACACGTCCACTCCCAAATATCTGAATAAATTCACCTCCTTCATACTCTCCCTCCAGTCTGATATCCAATTTTTTGTTACCTATTTCTTGTTATCTTCATCACCTTACTCTTTCCTATATTCACTTTTAATTTCTTCTTTTGGATACCCTACCAGATTCGTCCACCAACGTCTGCAACCTCTCTTCAGAATCTACCACAATACAGTGTCATCAACAAAGAGCAACTGTAACAACTCCCACTTTATGTTAGAGTCTTTATCTTTTAACGCCACGTCTCTTGCCAACACCCGAGCACTCACCTCTATTACAACCCCCATCTATAAATATACTGAACAACCATGGTGACATCACACATCGCATTACCTTTGTAACTAGTTCAGCTATCATAACTCTGGGGTCCAGTCCCTGGACCCATTATGTACCTCTGTAATCTTTTGACTACCGCCCACAGGATGGGTATGGGGTGCATAATAAACATATTAGCCTAACTAACCTGGATAAAGCCTACCTTTACTGGGAAATAATCTCCCTCTCTCCTACATACTCTAACCTGAGCCACACTATCTTCATAAAAACTCTTCACTGCTTTCAGTAACCTGCCTACTATTCTATACATTTGCAACATCTGCCACATTGCCTCCCTATCCACTCTATCATACGCCTTTTCCAAATACATAAATGCCACAATAGCCTCTTTATCCTTATCTAAATACTATTCACCTATATGTTTCACTGTAAAAACTTGGTCTACACACTTCCTACCCTTTTTGAAGCCTTGTTCATCTGCTATCCTGCTCTCCGTCTTACTCTTAATTCTTTTAGTAATAATTCTACCATACACTTTACTAGGTATACTCAACAGGCTTACTCCCCTATAATTTTTACTCTTTGTCCTTTTTGCCTTTATACACATTAGCTATGCATGCTCTTTGCCAATCCCTAGGAACCTTACTCTCTTCCATACATTTATTAAAAAAAACTAACCATTCCAAAACTATATTCCCCCTGATTTTAACATTTCTGTCTTTATCCTATCAATCCCAGCCTCTTTACCCCCCTTCATTCTACCCACTTCCTCATGCACTTCCCCCACACTCACAACTGGCTCTTCCTAACTCTTACAAGATGTTATTCCTCCCTGCCCAATGCACGAAATCACAGCTTCCCTATCCTCATCAACATTTAACTGTTCCTCAAAATATTCCCTCCATCTTCTCGATACCTCCAACTCTCCATCTAACAACTCCCCACTCCTATCTCTGTCAAATCGACTCATTCCCTAGGCTTTCTTAACTTATTAATCTCACTCCAAAACTTTTTCTTATTTTCAACAAAATTTGTTGACAGCATTTCATCCACTCTCATTTGTTCCCTTTTTTACATTCCTTCACCATTCTCTTAACCTCTCTTTTTCTCTCCATATATTCCTCCCTCTTTGTATCACTTCTACTTTGTAAAAACCTCTCATATGCTAACTTTTTGTCCTCTTTTACTACTCTCTTTACCTCATTCCACCAATCACTTTTTCCCTCTCGCACCCACCTTCCTGTAACCACAAACTTCTGCTGAACACTCTAACACTACATTCTTAAATCTATCCCATACATCTTCAACCTCATTGCCTATAGTGTCATTAGCCCATCTTTCTTCCAATAGTTGTTTAATACGGGCAGGACTGAGTTTACTCGGTCCTGAGAGCTTGGTTTTTGTGCATGTCCTCCTACTCCCCCAGCACATCTGGGTTCCCATTCTCTATTTCTGACCAATCACAAGCCTTCCCTGAGTCGCTCCAGCTAAAGGCGATGGCGTCTCCTTGCTTCCCATTGGTCGAGAGAGCAAAATGTAAACACTTCTAGCTTGGCGTCGCCCAGACTCGTGTTTTTCATCGAGTGCTCCTCATATACTCTTGCATTTCACCCTCTACAATGTCGGTAAGTACTGATTTGTGTGTCTAGTGCGTAAATGAATAGTTTAGCTATATTTTGATATATATATATATATAATATATTATATATATATATATATATATATATAATATATATATATATATATATATAAAACGTTGTGAAGCATAATAAGAGTGCACCATGCAAATGAAAAAAGTGCAACAAAAGAGGACCGAGTACACTCGGACCTGCCCGTTTAGGTGATGTTGTCAAGTTTCGGTATATAAATATTTCCATAAAATTTGGTAGTGTATATATGAATTCAATAATGATCTGAGTGTGTACAGATCGTTTTTATTGTCCTTCCAGATCAATCAGAAATTGTTCTATGGTGAATCCAAGGATAAGTCAAAATTTGTCTGTGTTTGGGACGAAAATGACTCAGATCAAGACCCAGATGACCTGGAATTGATGGACAGTGGTGATGAATACTTGCCACCAGATGCAGAGGTGTCAACAGATGAGGAGGAAGCTATGCCACAATCCAAAAAGCAGAAATTGAACAAGAAGATACTTGCTTACATGCAAGTATTGCAGCAAAAAGAATAATCATGTCACATCCTCATTTTCCTGTGCCACATGCAAAGTAAATCTATGCATCAAGAAGGATAGAAATTGTTTCATAAAGTTTCATTGCAGAAATTAGTGATGTAAAATGATTGTTCTTTCTCAGAGAACTCAGGAATATTTAATTTGTAAGTTGTATCCCATTGCAATGTGTCATTGTTGATAAGTAGTTCCTATTTCTATTTTTTTAATGCTTACAAATTGTTCAGAAACAAGTTCCATTTATGTTTTTATATTGTCTACTTGTATAATAAATTTAAAAAATATATTTTTTTTTAACAATTGCAACCTTGCAACATTTTAAATTGTTACACGCTTAACGGGCAGGACCGAGTTTACTCGGACTTCGCATATCTGCAATTGCTTGACACCTAGCTTTTGCAACTCCATTTAGATGGCCTCAGTGACCTTACATTGAGCGGCTCTATCTATCAAATTCGCATTTTGGTCTGCCTTGTCTCCTGAAGGGTTAAATCTTACCCTGCTTCCTCCTTTAGTTTACAGACCTTCACCTCTTTCTTACTTGCTGCTTCCATTTTCCCTGTATCCCACCTACCTTATACTTTCACTGCAGCTACAACTAAAAAGTGATCTGATATATCTGTGGCCCCTTTATAAACATACACATCCTGAAATCAGCCCAACAGTCTTTTATCTACCAATACATAATCCAACAAACTACTGTCATTACGCCTTATATTATGTCTTGTATATTTATTTATCCTTTTTTTTTTTTCTTAAAATATATATTACCTATAACCAAACCCCTTTCTATACAAAGTTCAATCAAAGGCTCCCCATTATCACTTACACATGACACCCCAAACTTTCCTACCACACCCACTCTAAACTTATCTCCTACTTTAGCATATAGGTCCCCTACCACAATTACTCTCTCACTTCGTTCAAAAGTTCCAACAAATTCGCTTAATATCTTCCAAAATCTCTGTCTTTCCTCTGCACTCCTCTCTTCTCCAGGTTCATGCACAATTATGACCCACTTTTTGCACCCGACCCTTATTTTAGTCCACATAATCCTTGAATTTATACATTTATATTCTTTCTCCTTCCATAACTGATCCTTCAACATTATTGCTACCCCTTGTGCAAGACAGGTATAAAATACCGACAAGATGAAAGTTAAGACACTTGTGCAACATCTGGTTATCTTTATTGTAGACGTTTCGCCATCCAGTGGCTTTATCAATATAGATTCTCTACAACCACGGTGCTCTAAACACCACCTCCAAGGCTGAGGGACTGATTACCTCATCTTTTGTATATAGTTCTTCTGATTTCTTATTATGTCCAAGAATCTATATTGATAAAGCCACTGGATGGCGAAACGTCTACAATAAAGATAACCAGATGTTGCACAAGTGTCTTAACTTTCATTGCTACCCCTTCCTTAGCTCTAACTCTCAGATACTCCTGACTTAATCCCATTTATTTCTCTCCACTGAAACTCCCCTACCCCCTTCAGCTTTGTTTCGCTTAGAGCTAGGACATCCAACTTCTTTTCATTCATAACATTGACAGTCATCTCTTATTACCTGCACTACATCCACACACATTCAGACATTCCAGTTTTATAAAGTTTTTCTTCTCTTTTTTAGAAGTTTATACAGGAGAAGGGGTTACTAGCCCATTGATCACAGCAGTTTAGTCGCCTCCTACGATACGCATGGCTTACTGGGAAAAGATTCTTTTCACTCCCCCATGGAGGTAAGAAGAAAATAAAGGAGAATAAGAACTATTAAGGAAAAAAAGAAAAAACAAATACGTAGTGTGTGTATATATATATATGCGTGTGCATGCCTGTGTAGTGTGACCTTAGTACCTCCCTGGGTGGTTGCTGTCTACCAACAATGTAACTATTATATAGAATTGTGTAGCAACACATTGCTGGTGTTCCCACAGTGTAACTATCATAGAACTATGTAGCAGTACATTGTTGGTGTTCCAACAATGTAATTATTATACAATTGTGTAGCAGCACATTGCTGGTGTTTCCATAGTGTAACTATCATATAGATTTATTTAGCAGCAATACTTTTCTTCGCACAGTCTAACTATCATGCAGATTTGTGTCGTAGCACACTACTGGAGTTTCCGCAATGTAACTACCATACAGAATAGAGTAGCAGTACACTGTGGGTATTCCCACACTTTAACTGATACACGTATATAGAATCGTCATGTACACTGTGGATGTACTAAGGTTTGATCAAACAGAAAGCTGCTTCAAACACTTAAAACTGCTCACTTGAAAAACTCGATTCGGGATCCTCGAAGTGCTGTGTTCCAGACGATGCTGACACCGCCCAGGTCCACGCAGCAGATGACTACGACCACCAGAACTCCCAGGAACATGAGTGCTGTCTGTAGCACGTCAGTGTACACTACCGCCTTCACACCTCCCTCCAACATGAAATTGCAATTTCATACATTATAATTTACAGATTAAAAGTTGTTATCCTTCCTCAGCTCGTATGTAGATTAAGAGGTGTTATCCTACCACACTTCACAAACTAAGAGCTGTTATCCTACCACAGCTTATCTCCAGCCAAAGCTATTATCCAACCACCGTTCACATATATGTTTAGAGCCGTTATCCTGCCTCTACTTAATTACAAAGATGTTATCCGACCTCTGCTTGCATATAAAGATCTGCTATCCTACCTCAGCTTACATATAAAGAGGTTATCCTACTTCAGCAGCTCATTTCAAAGCCAAACCCTATCAAAGCTTGCTATCCAGCAGGTGTAAAAATAAGGGCCCATGTGTCTCGATTTGACCAGATATTAATCCTGGTCATGGACCGGGCCGCAGGGGGCGTTGACCCCCGGAACACCCTACAGGTATACTCTAAGCTGAAAGCTCTATACCCCTTAAGGAAGGTTCCTTGATGTTGGTGAGGGGCTCTTGATTTAGGGAATTGGATCTGTGCTCCAGTTCCCCGAATTAAGCCTGAATGCCTTCCACATCCCCCCCCCCAAGCGCTGTATAATCCTCCGGGTTTAGCGCTTCCCCTTGATTATAATAATAATGAAAGCTCTATTGCTGAATTGCGGACAACTTTATAAGTGAAAGGTTCTCTTACTTGATTACATTGTATTCAGTGCCTGGAATGAAGTATGACAAAATAAAAGAACCTCTACTACCCACAATAAGTAATGTTTATTTTTTTTAAATGGAATATGTTTTTATTGGGATGTAGGAAGTGTAGTTTCATGGCCGCGGCATGAGGTACAGGGGGCAAGGAGGTTAAAAAAGATGCAGTGCAGAAACTCATTCACTCTCACGATTAGAAACTCAGAATCTAAGAATCTCATTTGCTCTCAGATGTTCACTCTGACTCACAAACTGTGATGGAGCCTCTCACCATGGAAAATGTTTAGGTGGCAAGCGAGGGGACAGTTGGTGTCCAGGATGCTAGTATTTGATGACTAGGCTTGCAGGCAAGGAATGGACCTGCAGGTGTTTACCTGGAGAGAGTTCCGGGGGTCAACGCCCCCGCGGCCCGGTCTGTGACCAGGCCTCCTGGTGGATCAGAGCCTGATCAACCAGGCTGTTACTGCTGCTGCACGCAAACCAACGTACGAGCCACAGCCCAGCTAGTCAGGAACCGACTTTAAGTGCTTGTCCAGTGCCAGCTTGAAGACTGCCAGGGGTCTGTTGGTAATCCCCCTTATGTATGCTGGGAGGCAGTTGAACAGTCTCGGGCCCCTGACACTTATTGTATGGTCTCTTAACGTGCTAGTGACACCCCTGCTTTTCATTACCTGGAGAGTTTACCTGGAGAGAGTTCCGGGGGTCAACGCCCCCGCGGCCCGGTCTGAGACCAGGCCTCCTGGTGGATCAGAGCCTGATCAACCAGGCTGTTGCTGCTGGCTGCACGCAAACCAGCATACGAGCCACAGCCCGGCTGATCCGGAACTGACTTTAGGTGCTTGTCCAGTGCCAGCTTGAAGACTGCCAGGGGTCTGTTGGTAATCCCCCTTATGTGTGCTGGGAGGCAGTTGAACAGTCTCGGGCCCCTGACACTTATTGTATGGTCTCTTAACGTGCTAGTGACACCCCTGCTTTTCATTGGGGGGATGGTGCATCGTCTGCCAAGTCTTTTGCTTTCGTAGTGGGTGATTTTCGTGTGCAAGTTCGGTACTAGTCCTCTAGGATTTTCCAGGTGTATATAATCATGTATCTCTCCCTCCTGCGTTCCAGGGAATACAGGTTTAGGAACCTCAAGCGCTCCCAATAATTGAGGTGTTTTATCTCCGTTATGCGCGCCGTGAAAGTTCTCTGTACATTTTCTAGGTCGGCAATTTCACCTGCCTTGAAAGGTGCTGTTAGTGTGCAGCAATATTCCAGCCTAGATAGAACAAGTGACCTGAAGAGTGTCATCATGGGCTTGGCCTCCCTAGTTTTGAAGGTTCTCATTATCCATCCTGTCATTTTTCTAGCAGATGCGATTGATACAATGTTATGGTCCTTGGCATGGGAAATCTGGAAAAACAGATGGGACGTGCAACTATGACCACCCTAGGAAATGCCATGCCCATATGACAACAGGAAAATGCAAACTCCCTTCCTGTAAGCTTTTTCACCCTGAACTGTGTACCTCTTCAGTACAGGAAAGACTGTGCTATAACTTAAATTGCCAGGCATACCATCTAAAGGGGACAAAAAGATACAAAACATCCAGGCCATGGGAAAACCTGGGTAGCCACAGCCACTCAAGAGGGAGAGGTTTTTTAGTGCCAGGAAGGAAAAAAAACTGGCAGGAAATGGCAGAAATCGTACACCAAATCCAGTCATTCCTGGAGTGGAACCACAGTCGATGGCCTCCACTCCAAACCAACAGATACAGATACTAATGCCGGAAAAAAAAATCCCCCCCCCAGTACCAACAATACCACCAGTCGATTAACATTCTTCTTTGCAAATATACAGGGTCTAAAGCCAGCAAACAAAAACAAAATACCTTTCATCCATGGACTGCTTGCAGAGGCAAAGGCAATGTTCGCGGGCTTTCACTGAGACCCACATAAAGGATCACTTGGACAACGAAATATGGATCCCAGGTTACAACCTATACAGATGTGACAGAGGGAACAGGCAAAAGGGGGGGGTTGGCCTGTACATTGCAGAGTCACTTGTTTGCACAGAACTGCTAAATGCCTCAAATGATGTAGTGGAAGTTTTAGCAGTAAAGGTCGAGAACCAAAACCTAGTCATTGTGATAGTCTACAAGCCTCCGGATGCAACATCCCAGCAATTCCAGGAACAGCTGTTAAAAATTGACCACTGTCTGGAAAACCTTCCAGCTCCTGCACCCAACATCTTGCTCCTGGGGGATTTCAACTTAAGGCACCTAAAATGGAGGAATATAGCAAATAATATTGTTGCAGTAATAACACCAGGAGGCAGCTCTGATGAAAACTCACACTCACGCGAGCTTTTAAATCTCTGCACAAAATTCAATTTAAACCAGCAATAATAGAGCCTACTAGACTGGAGAATACACTAGACCTCATCTTCACTAACAATGATGATCTGATAAGAAATATCACCATATCAAAAACAATATACTCAGATCACAACATAATTGAGGTTCAGTCATGTATGCGCGGGGCCCCAGACCGACATAAGGAGATTTGTCACGAGGGAGCATTCACCAAATTCAAATTCAATAACAAAAACATAAAGTGGGACCAAGTAAACCAAGTCCTAACCGATATAAGCTGGGAAGATAACTAAGCCAACACAGACCCCAACTTATGCCTAGAACGATTAACTCGGTAGCACTCGATGTATGCACAAGGCTTATTCCTCTAAGAAAAAGAGGAGTAGATGTAAAACAGAAAGAACAGGCGCTCCCTTTACAGGCGACGGAAAAGAATAACAGAGCGGCTAAAAGAGGTCAATATATCTGAAATGCGTAGGAGACACTGGTCAGAGAAATAGCAAGCATCGAAAATTAAGCTAAAAGAATCCTTTAGGAGTCAGGAATCGCGGGAAAAACTAAAAGCCATAAATGAAATCGAAAGAAACCCAAAAGTATTTTTCTCCTATGCCAAATCAAAATCGGAACAACGCCCCAGTATTGGGCCCCTACTTAAACAAAGATGGGTCCTACACAGATGAAAAACAAGGAAATGAGTGAGCTACTCAAGTCCCAATATGACTCTTTTTTTAGCAAGCCGCTAACCAGACTGAGAGTCGAAGATCAAAATGATTTTTTTATGAAGAGCCACAAAATTTTGATTAACACAAGCCTACCCGATGTTATCCTGACGCCAAATGACTTCGAACAGGCGAAAAAAATGACATGGCCCATGCACTCTGCCCCCAGGGCCAGACTCATGGAACTCTGTGTTCATCAAGAACTGCAAGAAGCCCCTATCACGAGCCTTTTCCATCCTATGAGAGGGAGCATGGACACGGGGGTCGTCCCACAGTTACTAAAAACAACAGACATAGCCCACTCCACAAAGGGGGCAGTAAAGCAACAGCAAAGAACTACAGACCAATAGCACTAACATCCCATATCAAAAAATCTTTGAAAGGGTTCCTAAGAAGCAAGATCACCACGCATCTAGAAACCCATCAGTTACACAACCCAGGGCAACATGGGTTTAGAACAGGTCCTCCTGTCTGTCTAACTATTTTGGGCCACTACGACAAAGTCCTAAATGCACTAGAAGACAAAAAGAATGCAGATGTAATATATACAGACTTTGCAAAAGCCTTCGACAAGTGTGACCATGGCGTAAAAGCGCACAAAATGCGTGCTAAAGGAATAACAGGAAAAGTCGGTCGATGGATCTATAATTCCTCACTAACAGAACACAGAGAGTTTTCGTCAACAGAGTAAAGTCCGAGGCAGTACGGTGGAAAAAGCTCGTTCCACAAGGCACAGTACTCGCTCCCCTCTTGTTCCTCATCCTTATATCCGACAAAAGACAAGGATGTCAGCCACAGCACCGTGTCTTCCTTTGCAGATGACACCCGAAATCTGCATGACAGTGTCTTCCATTGCAGACACTGCAAAGCTCCAGGCAGACATCAACCAAATCTTTCAGTGGGCTGCAGAAAACAGTATGAAGTTCAACGATGAGAAAATTTCAATTACTCGATATGGTAAACATGAGGAAATTAAATCTTCATAGAGTACAAAACAAATTCTGGCCCAAAATAGAGCGAAACACCAACGTCAAAAAACCTGGGAGTGATCATGTCGGAGGATCTCACCTTCAAGGACCATAACATTGTATCAATCGCATCTGCTAAAAAAAATGACAGGATGGATTAATGAGAACCTTAAAAAACTAGGGAGGCCAAGCCCATGATGACACTCTTCAGGTCACTTGTTCTATCTAGGCTGGAATATTGGTGCACACTAACAGCACCTTTCAAGG